CCACAAGTGCGAGGACCCTCTGAAACTCTGGACGGTTCTCAGCACGCTGTCCAGCCAGGGAGTCATCGAACCTTCCAGCGAGACCGGAAAATGAGGCAGGGAGCCGGGGGGTAAGGGGAGGTTTTCTCTCCGCTTCCTCTGTTCCATGGTGGTGCTTAATACCAAAAATCAAGCAGGTTAGGATCAGCTTTAATGAGCGCAGTGAGTTTGTACAGTTTTATTTTATTATGAAATATATATGTCTGGGGCTCCCCTGGTGGCGCGGTGGTTCAGAGTCCGCCTGCCAATGCAGGGGACACGGGTTCGTGCCCCGGTCTGGGAGGATCCCACATGCCGCGGAGCGGCTGGGCCCGTGAGCCATGGCCGCTGAGCCTGCGTGTCCGGAGCTGTGCTCCGCGACGGGAGAGGCCAGTGAGAGGCCGGCGTACCGCAAAAGAAACAAACAAACAAACAAATATATATATATACACACACACATATATGTGTACATATGCCCTTGATGCATATTTTTCTAACATAATGCAGTTTTATTTTAAAATTCTATGTCCTGTTAGTATCTGAGACTTTATTTCAGATTCAATAAAAAGATAAATTTGCAGATTGAAATGTAGAGTATTATAGGCTATTCTTCAAGTACGGTTTTTAGTAAAAACACGTGTTTGAGTTATTTCCTGTCTGTGTGCGTGTATGTGTCCTTTTGTTCACATGTTTTCTGTTTAAGTAGGTCGACAAATGTGGTAAATGTCCAGGTGACAAAATCATTTCTGTCTCAGCCCTGGCCTATTGTTGATCTTCATCAGATTCTCTAGTTTGTTTGAATATGCCGTAGAGCAGCACCTTAAACAAGGTTCTCATCCGTCATAACTGGAAGTCCGTGTTTTCAGGACTTTGATTTTTTTTAATTCATTTTCTTAAGTGCACATCCGTTGAAGCTTAGATGCTATAAGTCTGATACCTGTAGTGTTCCCGTCAAAGTCATCAGCCATTTCTCAGTACTTCAGCTAATAGAAAAACCACTTTTTTGTTAAAAAGTTATTTTCAAAAAGTCTTTTGAGTCAGAAAATTTACAACCTGGAGAGTGAACTGGGTAGTTCAGCCCAGATGTCAGGTGTCTCAGCAGCCTTTCCTCTTCCCCAGTAACTTCAGAGGGCTGTCACTGGCTGATCAATTTTAGATGCAACTGTGCCTTTCAAGCCCGGGTCCTCTTTGAAAGTCAGGAGTAAATGATTGCCTGTTAAATTCTTGGGAAATTACCTCGAATCAGAAATGTTGCCATTTGAAGTTTCTGGCCGTCCTGGCTGCAAAATCGTTCTCTCGGAATGCGGGAGTCTGAACACTTCAAGCCACTGGGATCCCGGGCTTTGGTTGAAAGCGCCGTGCACGTGGCCAGCCCTGTTCCTGAAGCTGGGCCCGGGCATCGTCATAACATTTTTCTGTGTTAAAGGAAGTTACCTAAACGGAGGAAGACCTAAGTTCTAACTGATGAGCTAGCGGGTCTTAAATCATCTTTCTGAATGTCTCGTTTTAAAACCAAGTGTTCATAAGTACAATTTGGTTCAAATAGCGCAAAAAAAGGAAAACTCAATCCTTGGCTTTTTTGCAAATAGTTTTATAAATTTGAGAATAAGAAGGTGGGATAGAAATCTCGTGAAGATTCTGCTGTGGTTCATCCGTCGATCACACTGCACCCGATCTCAGAGAGATGCTATCAGACCTCCACTGTGTGAGTATTTTTAGAACTCGGCTAGTCACGGGACAGCTTTACCATTCAGCGCAGCATCTAGTTTGTTTTGGGAAGAGTGGTCTCGGAGACACTAACAAATGAGAGCTACCACGAATGCTACTTGAGTTCAAACCATGAAACTTGACTTAAACTCTAAAGTGCTTCTTAGACCCCTCTGTCTTCAGATGCTAAGCAGTGTTTCTGAAATACTGGCCAAGAAGGCCTCGGGCAGAGGAGCGGGTCCGGTTGGAGACAAAGGTGTGGGGGGCAGAGTGCATCCACCCCGCACGTAGAGGAGAGTCCGAAGTCCCCGAGGTTGCGAGGACTCTCGCCTGTGGCCCATGTTTAATCCCATATTCTTGCAGTGAGAACAAGACAGCAAGGGCTCAGGTAGCCTCTGGAAAGAAATAGAGGGTTAGGATGGGCCAAGAGCAAAGCTGGGGAGATGCAGTTGGCTCTTCACGAAGCGCTCTGCCTGGGTCCCCTTCTCAGGACGCTCCCTGCGTTTCTCCAGGAGCAGCCCAGTGCCACCTAGGTCAGGGAGTTTCTGGTCCTTAACGACGACGCTTCTTCAGTGGGAATGCTGCGAAAAGGGACTCCGACTGGGGAGGTTGGATAAAAGGGAATCGTTCAGCTAAAGAACTTCGGGAACAGCTCAAGTTGATTCCCCGGGGGGTCTTGCTTGCCAGTCCTTCCGTGGACGCAGACGTCCCAGCCTACGTAGGTGACCCACAGGCAGTGACGTGTACAAGGAGGTGCTGTGAGGCTTACTGCCCGTGAGTTGCCTTTCGAGGCCCCATTCTCCCACCGGTAAGATGGGAGCCGTGACACCCCCCCACCAAAGCATCTGTTGTGAATGGTCGACGCCACACAAATAGAGCGTGGGGCACACTTGGGCCACGGAGTAACTGGGGGCTGTTATTTATTATACCTTTGGGCAGACTTGCAAGAAGAGGTATGTGATGCCGTAAAAGGGTAACAAAACAGCTCAGGTCGGCCTCACGTCCAGAATTCAAGGATAAAACCTCTGCGGAGAACCACAGACATTTGCATCTTTGCATAAAAAGTGTATTTTAATTTTTAAATAAACTGGGGTTGGGATCACATGGAGGTTTGGCGTCTACTTAGTCAATACAGGAGGTAAACTTCACTAGATGATCTCTGTTCTCAGTTCCACTGTGGGCCACGAATCCCTCCCCGGGGCTGCCCTCCGCGGCCTCTGCTGGCCCTGGTCACAGCGCCCGCCCCAGTGTCCTGAACCTCACAGTGGGCTTGTCTGTTTCCCACACTGGACCATAAGCCTTTTGAGGGCAGGGACTGTGTCTTTGCTCAGCACATAGCCCCAGAGGATCCAGCCCCTGACAAGGAACAGTGTACAATATTTGTTGAAAAAATAGATACGTGAGCAAAAAACACATGAAATTGTCCCTTTCCCTTTCTATGAATAAATCCAGCTTCAGGAGCTCCCCACCTTAGAGCTAGGAAGGCACAGAGGCAGATTTGGTCTTAAATGCAGCACGTCCATTTCACTTCATGTCTTTCGCTTCTCGGCAAGTTGTCCCAGAGCCAGAAAAATGAGGGGGTTTTTTGGGTTTTTTTTTTCTTTTTCTTTTGGCCCTAAATTATTTCTGAAAGTTACAGCATTTTAGATTTGTATTGTTTCATTAGCTGTCACTTTTATTCATGACCCCTTTCGTTTCTCTCTCTTTCTCTGGACCTGTTCCTGCTGGAGCTTGACCGTTCCTCTCATATGGAAAGTTGTCTGTCCATCAGCACGCCATAAATAATCCAACCTGCGTGCATTCCACTGTCTTCCCTGGCTCCATGCTCCTTCCCACCCCCCAGCTGCCCCGCTCCAGTTTTCTGTGGCCCCAGTGACATGATCATTGGCAATAAATGCTCAGCTCCATTTATTTACTGGAATTCTCAGATCTGGACCAGTTTGCTCCATTCAAGCTGCTGACGTGTTTTGTTAGGTACACATTCTGTAGAATCTCCCCTTCGTGCTGAGCTCGGAGGAAAGGGCCCCGGTAAGGATGAACTGGGATTTAACAGGTATTTAGCTTCAACTTTATATGGACTTGCCTAACGTCAGGCAGTCAGCAGCTTATCTGGACTTGGGGTCCAATACATATCTGAACCATATTCACCTCTCCAGGGATGCTCCTTTTGGAGGTGAAATGTTTATTGTATCCCATATTTGGTCATGGTCATGGTTGTCCCCATAATAAAACTATAACCTTGGTTTTGCAAGCATATTTTAAACTTGTGTTTAGGATGTTAGCTAAGTAGTACATCACATCTTCCGTGCTCTGAAGTGTGAGAATGTTTCAATGTGTTGCCTTAACCCTAGGAGAAGATCCAGGGTCTACTGAAGGAGACCAAATGTGACACTTGTTCTGATTTTGATGTGAAGCTAAACAGGTTTGGGATTTTTTTTTTTTTTCAGTGAAACTTGCTCACATGTTCAAAATTGCCCACCACGCCTTGGTCAGCTTAGCCATAAAGAATTCACCTGTAATAGGATGGCAGTACTTGCCTCTTTCAGTACATTCCACAAACAAAACTGCAAGTGGTTAGCATCACAATAGATCATGTTTTGATAAATCAGCCACTAAGTGCTACTCAAAAAAATGAAAGATTTTACCTTCTGTCATTAAGTAGGAATTTAATCTCCAGTCAGGTGTGGCAAAGAGACCGCCCACCAGGTGTTCTAAGGGCATTTGCAGAAACAGCCATGAACTTGATCTGATTATTGCCTGAGTTGTCATGCAGACCTTACCACAAAAATCTGGCCCCGGAGGAGATCCAGGGGCTCAAACATACGAGCTGCAGGACCCTCCCTAAGCTCTGGCTATTTCCGGAAGTCATTGCTAAGTGTGTGCTCTTATGAAACTAATACACTGCCTTTTCCCAGTCTCATCCAAATTAAAGCAGTTAAATTTTTCCTAAGACATTCATTGAACCAAGCCTTTTTGACAATGGTTACAACTAAGGAAAGTTGAAATATCCAGGAAGACTTAAGTCCTTTGAATGGTGTTTATTCTTTCTTGAAGTAAAGGGTGGGTAGGGCCAGCACGAGGGCAGCAGTGCCACGTCAAGACACGGCATGAGGAACTTTTTGATGATGAAAGGAAAGGCCCAGTGGGGTGCCGTAGGGTAGTGGTGAGCCTGGGTCTAGGGTCCAGGCAGCAGAATGGGATTAATAGTTTGGTACCACCTCCATGGAACAAGCCAAATGTGACAATTTCTATCAAAATCTTTTTAAAATGCACAGACGTTTTGACCCAGGAACTCCACTTCCAGGAATCTGGCCTATAGCTATTACCGCACGAGTTCACAGACAGATGTGGACAAAGAAAGGCACCTGCCATATCAGGAAACAAAGGATGTTGCAGCCGTCAAGCTGTCAGCCACTGCAGCCGCCCCAGACTGTGCACCCAGAGCGGATTCGGGACGGAGACACCCAGCATGCCGGCCCCAGATAGCTAAGGTGCATATCAAAGGAATCATTTCAGTGAGCCCAGACCCTTGCATCTTCCCATACACAGAAAATTGCTAAATTCATTAATTTGAGATGTCTGGTTTTCTTTAATTAACAGTCATCATTCGATGTTCTGATGACCTGGGTTTTTTTTGCAAAAACTCCTATATATCCTGGCTTCTCCCTTCCGGTCCCTCCAAGCGATCTGAGAGCCTCTCTCCAGGGCCTAAGTGCTTAGTATGTCCACCAAATAAAATGTAATTCTCAACTTCAGGGTTGTGGGTTTTTTTCAGTCGACACATATGTGAGGATGTTCAGGGCAGCATTGTTTATAAGACTGAACACAAATTCAAGTATCCGTCAGAGCCGGTTTAAAGAAGCTTCAGTGCTCCAGGGGACGGAATACCGTGCTGCAGGAGAAGAGATGGAAGTTGCACCTCATGTGCTGAAATCTGTACTGTGCGCAGGAAGCAAGATGCAGAGCACGTACAGTGTGCTGTCATGTGAAAAAGGAGGAAGGAAGGGTGGGCGAGAAGGGGTCGATGTGTGCTTGTAATATGCATAGGAGTTTTCCCGGAAGGGGGCTTCAGGAAGGGGGTACCAGGAGATGGCAAAGCGGGACACTTACTTTTGCGTTATTGGAATGTTTGGCTGCATTTTATTGATTGTTTTTGGGTTGCAAAATGTCTTCACCGGATTAAGCAGTAGCTGGGCTGCCGTCGTTCGGGAAGGCCTCGGCAACGCTGTGAAGGAAGGAGAAGTCGTCTGACCCCTTGAGCTTGAGCCCCTGCTGCCTGACAGTACCGCACCACAGCCCACAGGTACAAAAGTTTCATTTCGTAAAAATAATACAGTCTACATAATCATGCACTTTGCATCTTGAATGTTCTAATTTCTTCTTTTAATTCTGGCTCCCTCGCACTAAATTCATCTCATGACCCACCAATAAGGCCCCAATCTGAACTAGACTGCTACAGCCGTCAGACTTGTCACCCTCCCTGTCCCTCTGTGGCCTCCCTGGGCTGTCTGTCAACCCAGGCCCTCCAGTCCCTGCCGTCAGGGCCTGAAGGAGCACCGCATCTCTCCCCAGATTTGCATTTTATAGGCCTTCTGAAGGGTGGCCTCAAGCCAAAGGGGTGACTAATGCTGGCAAGTTCTGAAGCCCTGTGGCCGCTAAGAAGGCCTTTTGGTTTCTCAGTAATGCCCTGGGGGGCTCCTGAGTACCCTTTGGAAAAGAGTGAAGGTCCCTTAGGAACCCAGAGGCATCGCCACCTGGCCCAGGCTCACCCTGAAAAGCTCTTCCAAAGTTTCAGTTGACCAGAGCTACTGACTCTGGGTTTGGGCTGGGTTTGAAGTCGTCTCTCATTTCTCATCCTAATTCAAATAAAATGGTGCAGCAGAAATCTGGTCCTCTGAAGAAGATGCAGATTCTGACGGCATTGGAACCTACTGGAACCAACAGCCTTCCTCTCCCCTCTGCCCTCTCCTCCTCTCCTCGCCTGTGCTAAGAAGCCCACATCGGGCCAGGTTTTCTGAGGATGTGGGTATGACCCCCTCCTTCTCGTCCTCCTGGCCTCACTGTCCTGTCAGATGTTCTGCCGTTTTGCCAGGGCTGCGGTATAACTGGGTCACAAGGGTAGAACGTGGCCGAAGAAAGGGCCACTTAGACTTCAAAACGATCTGTATCCTTCCACCATCTCCAGGGAGTGACGCTGAGATTAGACCAAGGCTCTCACGGATGCGAACAAACGCCCACCCCCTCCCATGTCCAATACCCGGTGCTGCCGTGAACACAAAGTCTGTCTGTCACGCAGCTGTCGCTTGGCCCAAAGCACTCAAAGTTAACACCTAGTTAATCACACTCTCCTGTGTGTATTCCTCGGAGGGCCCTCTCTCGCAATTTTCATGTGTTGGCTTAAATAAAATCTGTCTGGTTCCCCTTTTCATAGCAGCTTAAATCTGTCCCAAGTTGCCCAAAAAAGTGTTTATGGAACTACTCACGGGTCCTCCAGGGAGATTTCCCAATCAACACACATGCGTGCGTGCCCAGCTCATGTGGAGACCCACACCCTAGCCCACTTGGGGCCCCCCGGCTGGAAAGCCAGCCCAGCACAGAGCACCACTGGTCGGAGAAGATCCTCTGCACTTCCGGTCACATGGGGTTACCCAGGAGATGCTGTTGCCCAGCTGTACTTTTCCGTTTGCACATAGACGGGAGCATAGGACTCTTTCATTGACAGTAAGAGGCAGTAGGAGAGAAGGAAATTGGCTGTGATCGGATGTTTTCGTTTTGCTTTGATTTTCATCAGTGCCCTGAAAACACTATTTCAAACATCTTCATCATCTCATACGGAAAGTAATAACCTCAGTGGTATTTGTTAACTCTGAGGGCCCTTATTATCGAAGAGGGCAATCTTATGCCAGTTTCACAAAGGACTCGTGCTTTTCTGGGTCCGGTGGGATTCACTGGGGATTTCAGTCCACTCACAACTGGGAAAATTTCCCCATCATAAAATCCATTGCCAAAATGGACACCAATTGGCCTCCTGGTTGACAATCCCAGAAGGGAAAGTTCTGGGCTCCAAAACGAAGCGATTTGCTCAAGAGTTGAGACAGTAGCAGGAAATCATGCTGTCTTGACCCAAGGTTTGCTCTCTGCTGAGGATAACGGAGAGTTTGGGGCTGCAGGGCCATCAGTGTCACAAGTAATCCATTCAGAAATCGCGAAAGGCCTTCTACTATTAACAAGGAATTTAAAACAGTTTCAGCCGGACTTAAGCATACTTGGGCATTAATAGTCTTTTAACTTAGTGGGAAAAAACCACTGCGACTTAGTTGGTGGTGAAGCTGATGGAGGGGGAAGATGAAAGAGCTACTTCTCCTGAAGTGGGCGTGTTTGACCAAATTTCAGGAAAACAGCCTAATGGCTCTCTTTCTACGCCTTGTGGCTGAAGGTGTGATTTGCGTGGACCACATCAGTCTCAGGTAGAATGAATTGGCTCGCTGCACTGTGAGGTTGGCATTAAACCTTTCACACCCGGGCCTTCCCCGGCGGTCCAGTGGTTAAGATGCCGCGCTTCCGGTGCAGGGGGCGCGGGTTCAATCCCCGGTCGGGGGGCTTGGATCCCGCCTGCAGTATGGCATGGCCAAAAAAATAAAAACTAAACGTTTCACAGCGGGCAGCCCTACGGTCCAAACTGCAGCCCATCTAGGTGAGAGCGGCCCGTTTCCTAAGGGCGGCCTGGCACGGGTGCCCGTACGGCCGGCAGCAAGCTTATCCCAATATTTTGTCACATTCAACAACATCCTCGAGAAAATGGCCTAAATGGACATTCTTTTAGAAGGCCAGAAAAATAAGATCAACAACCACCGAAAAGTCTGTGGAATCTGAAGCATGTAGAAATCGCCCCCCGCACCCCATGGACTGTATTATTTCCCCCTTTTAAACCAATATTTATCATATAACCGCGGTTTTACAGCCAAGCCATCCTGAACATGTCCCGTCCAGGGAACACGGGTGGAAATGACCCCCCCACCCCCCCGCCCCGGCTCTGAGACCCCGGCCTTGGAGCTGAGCCGCTCCCGTCCCCAGCCCTGCTCTCTCCCATGCAGGGCGGGGCTGCCTCCCCCGCCCCCACCAGGCTCTGCTCTTCTGGCCCCGCCTCTCAATCCGTGCGCCCGTGGTCCACGTGGCCGTCACTCGCGGTGGGCCCGTTCCCGCGGAGGTCGCAGGAGCCTTCCTCTGCTTCCTCCTCAGACGGGGACACGCTTTTTTACGGGGCCCCGAACTGGGAGGCAGCCCTCCATTTCTCCCAGTGAGCACTTATTCTTTGTTTAGTCTCCCTTTCTGCCCACCCTTGAGTCAAGCCTGGGGGAAGCCGCCTGGAGCCAACCCAGAAGACCCCCAGCAGGCTCTGCTCCCGCCTTCATCACTTCTGGGTGGGCCCTCTGCACCCGCAGCTGCGGCCTGGGGGGTCGCCAACAGCGGAGTCCGCCCCCTGGCAGGCTCGCCCTCACCCCGCCTCCCAAGCCCACCCCCAGTGCGGGGGGGGGGGGACCGGACACCCCGAGGGCCTGGCAGCAGCTGCTCCCGTCCCGTTCCAAAGCCCGCTTCTACCGCATAGGCTCGGGATTCACGCAGATGGGCGTGGAGTGGAGTCCCGTCTTCCTGGGTGAGTTTGTTGACTGAAAAAAAAAAAGCACAGCCTGAAAGTTGCCAGTTCAGGAGTCTTACTGAGGACTCTAGCCTGGGGATCAGCCTCTGAGATCGCTCTGAGGGACTGTTCCAAAGAGGTAAGGGAGGATATATAGGAGGTTTTGCTGGAAAAAAAAAAAATATATATATATATAGTCCAACATCAAAAGATGACTGTTAATCACAAGGACAGACATCTGAGGTTAGTGATTTGAGTGCTTTTCTGTGTATGGGAAGAGGCAAGAGTCTGGGCTCATTGAAATGATTCCTTTCGTAGCATCTTCCTAGGGCCAGCATCTGACCTTCACCCTCCTGAGTGCCCCCCACCAGGGGGCAGCTGCAGTAGCTGATAGCTTGGGGGTGGGCAGCATTCACTGTTTACCGGAAGGGCAGACAACGTTCTTTGTCCGGAAGTTCTCACCTCCCCAAGGAAGGCTAAAATCCTCAACTGTCAAACCTACCTTTCTAGCCCAAGAAGCACAGTTCGCTGGGTTTTGTGAACCAATGCTATCAAGTGATATATACAAAGTGCAAGTGACAAGGTACCACAGGCTCAGAACATATGCACAACGCAGGTTTTCAGGATGTTGAATTAAGAGAGAGGGGGCTGAAGCATGAGACTTCAAAGGAAGCATTGAACCCGCACCTTCCCAGAGTGAAGTGGGGACGGGTGGTTTCCAGAACAGATGCCCAGATGGGCATTTGAGTGGTGTCCTCTCACTGGATCACCTGCTCTGGCTCTAGGGGCATCGGAGGGCCACTTCTGGTAAATGAAAAGCAGGCATGTGGAGACTCCGTTGAATGTCTTCATTGGAATCGTACTGCTGTGGGGGTCGAGGAAACCCGCAGAAGATTCTGGTTTCCTAAGTAAGCTGTGCTTCTCAAGTTCAAGGTACTGTTTCTTTCATGAAACTTGATTAGCAACTAATTAAACGGAGGAAGGACCGTCCACGGCACAGGTGACCAACAGGGTTCCCGCTGCAGACAGGTCGAAGCAATTAAATGTGTGAAGCCCGCTGTTTGTGTGTTTCCGGGGCTGTGGAAGTGATGGCCTGGCTAAGCAACAAAAAACACAACCCGTGAACACCACGGCCAAGGCCCACCCTTCTATAAAACATGTGCTCTCTTCTCCGAAGCAGGGAGCATCACCAACTCAAAAAGCAAGCCCAGGACCGGTTTCTTCTGAGGTGGGGAGCAGAGTACGGCCCACCGACAATGGCCGATTGTGATTTATTAGTGGAGGGAAATTCGGAATTGAACTTCACCGTTGGGATTTACTTGCATTTGAAAGCAATGCAGTTAGCGGTCCATCTTTCAACACTGAAAGTATTTTGTCCACTTTTCTATCCTTCTGATGAATTAAGGGCTTATGAAAGGTGAGGGGTGGAAAACATTAGCAGCTGAAACTCTTAGTGGATCTGCTTGCCAGTTCAGGCTGGATGGAAAAACACAGGGGCCAATTTTACATTGTTTCCCCACCAATTCCCATCAGCCGTGAACTATGATGCTTTCCTACCTCTGCAGTGAGTGGATAATAAGAGTTCCCGGTCCTCCGGTTCTCCAAGCTGTTTTGAACGAGGTCTGCTAATTGAATTCAGTTGTTTGCAGTTTTAAATGTTCCGTATTTTCCACAGAGCAAGAATGTATTAAACTCATTTCATCTGTCATCCAAGAAGAATTGGAGCCTGCATTTTTATTACCAACTGATTCGTGTTCACCTTCATCCTCGAATTTTTTCTGAAATGTTTACGATGTAATTAAAAACAATCAAGTCAAATTATCTATTTGAATTTCTCCCTTTGGGGGACGATGAAGGAGCAGGAAAGGTGCCTGCGATGACATCATTTTGCATCGTTGCCTTCTCACACAGAAATACATCATGTAATCTGGTCACCGAGAGCATTCTGTAATGTCACTGCTGATTTAACAGTTACAGAATATTGTAATTAAACGTTCAAATGCTCTCGTACATTTTCCCATTAACAGATGATCCTGGAACTTGATTCATTTCAGCCTTTAGAAAGGTCCTGGATTTGGTAATGTTGCTTCCTGCCACGCATACCTCCAGGGAAGACTATGATCTGAATCCTGAAGTCCGACCCAATTAAACTCTTGCATCTTCCCCACTGCGGCCGTAAGACGAACCACTTTTTCAATCATGGCTCAGACAGGCTTGTCAGGTTTCTAGGGCTCCGCATGCCTACTGCCAGCCTCGAAAAAGCATTCCCTGGGAACAGTCTCATAATAGGGAAGAAAAATGATAAATCCACAAAGGCAGGAGCCACAATGCAGGATGCTGGGCACAGCGCTGACTAAACATCGGGGCAGCTGGACCTGGTTAGGAGCCCGGCTGCTGGCACAAGAGTTTGCTGCTTTGCTGGGCATAAAGAGGTAGGTAGCTGAGACATCATAGAGCAGAAAATGAAACTTCTGTATTGAAATGTCAGAAGAGGAGAAAGGCTTACAACCCAATTTGCCTTGGGGCTGACTAATTACAGGGGCAAATCCTTAGATAAGATGTCACATAGGAAATTAGCAAAGCAGGAGCCATCGATCATGTCTCCTTAATTTTAAAGTTAGTTTTAACGATTCCCCAGACAATGGACAGAAATCAATCACGTTCATGACTTGAGTTTCTCCTCCAGAGAGTTGAATGTTGGGTAACGTTGCTCCATCTGACTTTTCCCCTGGCTTTGGTATTAAATAAACAAACACCACCAACAACAAAAACCTCGCGGCTAATTAAGATCAAGCAAATGAGTTGTCAAACGAAAACTACCTTCTCTTCCTGGGAGGATGGTTGCCAGTCTGTTTTGCTTTGGAGGATTTAGACAGCTCTGCCCTGCTGGGCATTAAATACAAACCTCAGATTTGCTGCAAAGAATGTTGTTTTTAAGAAGGAGATTGGGGAATTCGCTGGCGGTCCAGTGGTTAGGACTCCGCGCTTTCACTGCCGAGGGTGCGGGTTCAATCCCTGGTCAGGGAATTAAGATCCCACCAGCTGCAGGCGGCCGGAAAAAAAAAAAAAAAAAAAAAAAGATGTTTTTTGCATTTTCCTCTCTGACCTAAAGCAGGAGGTCTCTGGCGTGTAATATAGATGCCAACCTCTTTTATCACTCTTAATTTATAAAGCCACGGGACATTAGGTTCACAGGGTCAGAGGCGAGGACCAGGGCACCAGGCCATCGTGATGAGGCCTGCGGGACCCTGAGCCCCTCACCAGTGCTGACACCCAGCGCCTGCACCCCGTGGAGTTGCTTCATCAGTATCAGCTCTGCTTAACCTGCCCCTTCTTTTTTCTCCTGCTGCCCATGCATTAGTACATCTTTAAGATGAGCCCAAATCCTTCTATACATTTCCCCAAAGTTCAGCAAAGAGTGGTAGTTTTTTAAATGTGATCTGAGCAATAATTAGCTAATGCTTTCTCATTCATGCTGGTTCATTATTAGCCAAGCAGAGCACGGCAGCCCATCCTTAGTGTTTAGAGGGATGTTACATTTGATGTCACAGTCCTTCTCAAGGCGCTCGCCTTCCAGGTAGCCTCCAGCACCACCACCCTGGGGTCAGAAGGGAGGTGGCCGCAGGTGTTCCGCGCTGAGCAGAGCCAGCCTGGACAGGTCTGGAGCTGGACAGGCCGTGCTGTCCTCCCCCATGTCTGAGCTATGGTGTAGGAACATTCCAGAGTGTCCACCAGCCGTGCACTGGGGTCTGAACAGAGACTGCAGTAGCACCCAACAGCCCAGGGCAGGACACAGACCATTACCCATCTACCAGGAGGGCACGGCTGAGGCATGCGGGAAAGGAAGTCGGGAGAGGCCCCGAGGGCCAGCCGGGCTGCCCAAGGCACGTGCGGAAGCTTTGCTTCTGCAGATTTTGTTCCCGGACTGGATGTTTGCAGCACCTCCAAACGGGAAGCGGCTCAGGCCACCCCACAGCCTGGAGAGCTAGGTGGACCCAACACCTGAAGCACTCGTTAAGCCCGCCCCAGTCAGCTCCTGACCTGCCAGCCACAGGTGCCATGGGGCAGAGGCTCTTCGGGGCGCCATGGGCGGGGCAGAGTTGGATGGAAGGGGTCAGAGGGTGTGGAAGAGGAAGAAAGGGGGCGGAGAAGCTGAGGGTCTCCAGCGGAAAGGGTTAGGAAGGCCTGAAGGAAAAGGCCGGTTTGGAAGGAGGCCAGCACAGAAGGACCCTTCAAAGCCCGAGGGGCTGGTCCAGGCCAGGTCCCAGGACCCAGTCTCCTGCAGCTCCTCGGCCTGCAGGGATGGCCAAGGCGAGCTCTGCCGGACTCAACGCTGTTTTCTGGAATGAGGGATGCTTGAGCTAAGCCCGGTCTCCATCTCAGTGCTTCGGGGAAAATCCCATTAGAGCTTCTGAAGCGCAGTGGGATTTGTGGCTAGAGAGGGCTGGGTCCATGCAGGTTGATCTGTTTGGTGCACCTGCACCTCCCCCTCCCCAGCCAGCCGCCAGCCAGCCCCTGCTGAAAAGCCCTGAGCTGGGCTGAAACGCGCCTTGCTGGAGACGGTGGAGGTAAAACAGGATTTAAAGCGGTGCATTTTACCGGGCAACCTTATCTGGCTTAACTGCTCTGCGTTTTCAGCTGTGTGTGGATGTGAAGGGTAATTACCATCGCGTGTTACCTGAGATTACTAGGTTGTGTTCCAACTAATGACACCACGAGAACCAAGCGGTTGTTAATATTTAATCAGTCTGTGGGCTTAACAATTGGGTCAATGAGGTATGTAATTACGTAATTATAAAAGACATTTCAGATAGGAATGGCTGGTACTGGTATTAATACCAAAGGTGAGAGCTGGTAGAAATACCCCACCGGGTCGTTTCAGAAATATCACCAAAGAAGGACCTTCGAAGGGAGGGTATCCCTTAGAAAACGATGAGCACAGATGGAAGATCGTTTCCAGCACGTGGACTTCTTCTCTTCTTTCAGGCCCCCATATGGAACATCAGGCCAGATGTTTTACTGATGTCACAGATAACTATCACTGCAGTATTTAAATGGACCCCAAGAGAAAAGCTCCAGAATTTTCTTAATTGCATTCTAAAGGTGAGTGATATTTAGTGGCTATAGGTGCTGGTGGATTTTTGCTTCTTTGTTTATTTTTTATTTTTGGTTGGCATTCAGGAGAGACTGACCAAAAATCGGGCAGTGAAGCCCCGTGCCACCTTCCTGGGGCTGCAGCTCCCCACCCTGGGTGGCACCTGTCTGCCAAGGGAGCAGCCCACATTGTCTCTGCTGGGAGATGCTGCTGGCATCCCTGTGCTCTACCTGGGGTTCCAGCTTCTCTCTGGTGCTCGTGGCTCCTCAGTGGAAAATGCCATTTCTAACCGGGTGGCTGGGGGGATGGGGGGATGGGGGCAGGCAGCCAATCAGCTGAGTGTCCCTGCTCCATGGCCTGTGCCTGCAAAACATGGCTGAGAGCCCGTTAAAGGCACCCGGCAGATGTGAGCGCCCAGACTGGAGCTGCCGTCGGCCAGGACAATGGCCGTCGGAGATAGGAATCCGAGTGTGTGTGTGTGTAATTTATTGTGGGAAAATCCACATCCCTCGAGAGCCATTTGTCAACGCTGACAACAAGCCCTCTCCCCTCGCTCCACTCCTGCATCGTTTTAGGGATCACCTAGATGCACCCGTGCCGGGGCGCAGAGGTGCGTTGCAGCTCAGGACACCCATCCCATCCCCCCACCTGGCAGCCCAGCCTCCGCCCCCTCCTCCAGGTCTTGGGGCCCCCAGCGTGTGCCTTCCCTTCTTCCTGGGCTGCGGGAAGGATGGTTCCAGAAGCCGCTTTTGCACCCTGCCTGTGTAGCAGTGTCTGTCGGCACGTTCCAGCGCTGGCTGGGAGCAGGACCCTCCTGGCGCCCCGGTCTCCACGGAGGGTGACACTGCAGTTCCGGGAGATGCGTGATGATGCGGAGGTCGGAGGCCGCCCTCTGTGGAGGCCTTCCCCAGCCTCTCTAGAGAGAGGGCCCATCTCCCCTTGCCCTTGTGAAGCTGAATGGCCCGTCGGAAAACCGCGGGCCCAGGCGCCAGACAGACGTGGGTTTGGATGCTGGCCTACCCTGCACTGTCAGCGTGAACCAGGGGGTGACTCTCCGTCCCACGCCTTCACGTCCCCCTCCGAAGAATGGGCCGATTCTGCTTCAATCAGAGGCTTGTGGGCAGTAAGGGGAAGCCCAGCCCTGGGGCAAATACTCTGGAGACTTGGGTTTTCTTCCCCTCAGGCTGCCTTGGGTTACTTATCGGTGCCACTGGCGGCGGTGAGTCCCTCAAAGCAAAGGAGGGGTGACTCCTTATCACACCTCTTCCAAACGGCCAGTTCGGGCATCATTTAAGGGACTGGCATCCTTTGCCCGTGGCCAGAAACCACGGTGTCCCTCTGCAGCGAGCTTCCCGAAGCTCAGCGTTTGCACCAGACAGGATGCCAGCGAGGAAGCGGGGAAGGTGGGGGGCAGGGTTGGCTAACCCAGCCAGAAAGTTCATGCAGCTGCCGCCAGATGCCCAAGTGATGATGTCACCAAGGCTTCATCGCTGGTCCCCTCCGGCTTGCTGGGTTTATTCTCCGAACAGACCTGCACGTGGGGCTGGCACGGGCCGGGCCTTAGAGCTCACGGCCGCACAGAGCAGCCTCTCCGCTCGGCCAGCAGTGTCCAGGGGAGGACCTGGGGCCTGGCCACGGGTCTGGGCTGTGTGCTGTCCCTGCTCAAGCCCCGGTCACCTGCCCGCTCTGGGTCTGGGACAGGGCGCCGTGAGTAGAGAGCCGCCCGCTCTGTGGAGAGAGGGCTCGCCAAGGAAGGCGTGCTGGACACAGTCAGATGTCCATCCCAGTAACCGCATTGCCCAGGCTCCCTCTTGTGTCCATGCCTCTTGCAGACAAGCGGGTTGCTTCATCCTATTGCCCAACCAGAGAGAAAGCGGGAGACGCCAGTGGGAAGGCCCTGGGTGGGGTTCGGAGGGCGGGGGAAGAGGCCCTGATTCCATGAATCTCTTTTTATGAGCGTGGCCACAGCTGTGGCGTCTCTGATTCTCCGGGGGCCCCCGGGGTGGGACTGACAGCCTCTGCCTGGAGACAAGGCCGGGCTGCGGGGCCCGGGGAGCGGGGGTGAGCCTGAGACGCCTCTGCTCCCCGGACCCGGCTCCAGCCTTGAACGGGGCCCGTCAGTCTGGTCCTTTATCTCCGATTGAAATATTTATCGGGCGTTTTCAAAGGCCACCGCGGCTCCGGCAATCTTTCCCAGCACCCTTCCGTGGGGCCGGAATCTGTCATCATGGAGCCTCGTGCTGGGCGGGGCCGCAGTGGGGCTGGGTGCTGCCTCTGAAGGGCAGCCAGGCCACTGACCCACCCAGAGGAATGAGGTCTCAAGTTCAAGGGCAACGTGCACTCTCCCTGTGCCCCTCCATCCTCACCCTCCCTCGCGTTCTGCCCTGCAGCTGGCAGCTGAATCATCCCGTGGAGGGCCAAAGCGGGAGGGAAGGGAAGCGGGGCACAGGGGGCTCTCAGGAACCGGGTGCGTGCTGCAGGACAGCAGAGGAGGGCTTCCTGGGGGAGGTGATGTAGACTGGGAGCCTGGAGAAGGGAAGGCGTGCAGGGAGGACGCGATGCTGACCGTGGGTGCCGGCAGGTGTGGGGGGCACTGGTGGGGGGCACTGGGGCTGGCGGGCTGGACTGCGCGCCCTCGTCTCTGTGGCAGTGGGCACCCCCGGGGGTTTCCAGACGCAGAGTCTCTGGGCTTTTCATCTTCTGGAGCCTCGGCTGTGTTGAGGATGGACAGTCAAGGGCAGGGAGAGCCCCTGGGAGGCCGCGAACTCGGGGGCCTAGACCGAGGGAGGGAAGTAGGGCCACTCCCTTCCTCCATCAAGGCCAACGTGCCCGGGCGCGCACCTGTGCTGGGGGCTGAGCCCGGACGAGACAGGTGGGCTTCCCACCCTCAGAGGCACCCCACCCCGCCCCGGAGCCGCCCACCCCAACTTCGTGCGGAGACGAGTGAACTAACTGTGTGAAGTGTCCGCGCGCAGCCCTTTGCGGCTCCAGACTGGCCGGCCCAGGCTGGAGGGCGGATGGTGGGTCTAGGGGGCCACAGGCAGGCGGGGTGCGGGGAGGGACGGGGGGCGGCCTGGGGGCCACTTCCCAGGGTCCCGCTTCAGGGAGCTGAATGGGTGGGGATGCCAGCCACGCGGGGATGGTGCCAGGGGCTGAGGGCTGCGGACAGGCCGGCGAGATGGACTCCCACAGGACGAGGCTGAGGTGCCCGAGGACTGCCCGCGTGGCGACGTCCTCCCTGCGCCTTCTCTTTCCTCCCTGTGCCCCCCTCCGCGCTGTCAGCGCCCCCCGGAAGAGCTCGGGGAGCCTGGTGGGCGTCTGCGCTCCAGCTTGGGGGCCGCACGCGCAAGGATGCTGGGGCTGACGCGGCTGGACCAGCCCCGGCCCAGGGAAGCCACGCTTGAACCCCTGAGAGGTGAACAGGGCGGGTGGCTGGCGAGGGCCATCCCGGAGGCAGAGCAGGGAGAGCCCAGGCGGCACGCGCGCCCCCAGTCCAGCTCAGTTCCGAGCCTCCGAGCCACCAGGGCGGCACAGCAGGTGCCAGACACCGGCTCAGCTGCATCGAACACGTGCTCAGCCAAAGAGGTAAATCGTTCCAAGGATGCTGCCTCGTACTTCTCAGAAGGTAGGGCGCTGGAGCAATCGCAGTGCTGCCTCGTTTTGCCTGGGCTCTGTAGCTCATTTACTTCTTCCTTCGGATAATATTCCATTGAAACATGCACCGTGGCAACCCCTGCACCGTTTATGCTCCTTTGGACTCTTTTCAGGTGGCAACTTGCCCCATAACAGGGCGGGGACGAAGGGAAGAGCTTAGACAGGGAACGGACTGGAATAGCCCACGTCAGCTGGGAGCTCACCGCAGGGGAGCCTCCGGCCATGGACGGAGCCTGAAGGACGGAGCCGGCTCCAGCCTTCCGGGGGGACTTGATTCCACAGCCCGAGGCCTCTCCCAAGCTGGTCCCCACCTGCCCCTCCCCCTTCCTCGCCTCTCTGCCTCCCCCCTCCCCCTTTCCCGTGTCACTGTGCCCATCTTCTTCCCTCCTTCCGTCTTCTTTACAGACGTTTGGACCGAAGCTGATGGTGGCAGCACCTCCTACTCCCCCGTTGACTGCAGCCTGCATCCTTACCTCCACGTGACGACGTCCTTGGACTAGATTCCCTCCAGACTTCTCCCAACGCGTAGCTGCAGCTCCCGCCTCTTCACCAGACCCAGTACCACCCCTAGCTCTCAAAAGAAGTTCTACAGGTAAACTTTCCCAAGAATTCTAGAAACATAGTAAATCCCTAGTCCCCCAAAGAATCGAGGAAACTTTCTTCAGGTCTTTGGTGGGAAATTTTCACTGCCGTAGTCAGATCATTCACTGGCTTCTCATCTCTCTCCTCATGCTAGAAAGTTAGTGCCAAGAAAGCAGTGCGTTTGCTCTGCTTCACTTCTGTGTCCCTGGGGCCTGGCAGGCGCCTGGCATGAGGCAGAGCCTAATACCATCTGCCGAGGGACAGAGGAACCTCATCTTGACTTGGGTCAGGTTCAACAGCCTCATGCACTTGAGACCACGCCACCCGTCTGAGATGTGGCCCTCCACACAAAAGGCAGCGGTGCGACGCTGCCTCTGAACTTGGGTGAACGTGAGAGAATCAGAGGGAAGCCGTCCCCTTAACTTCCCATAACAAACAAAGAGACTTTGCTCGTTAACTCGGGCCATCCATTATCGGTGTCGCCGTCCCGCTCTCCTAGGCAGATAAAATGCACTTGGCAGACAGGGACGGGCGTCTGCAGAACATCTGCAGACCTTCCAGCAGGAGTTAATAAGCCACGCTAATCAGGTTAGTTCTGGGCCTTTTGCTTTAAAAGCATCATCCTGCTTTCAGTGTAGAAGACCCCCGCACAGGAGGCACGCCCATCTGGGAATTCCTCTCGAAATTCTCCAGGAGTTGGTTAACGATAAACACAGCTACAGCGAGCAACGGTTCAAGGGATGGTTTCTCTGTCGCATGTGTTATTGGGTTGAACGTTTCTGCTCTGGCTTCTTGGAGTTTGTTCCTAAAAAGTATCCCCAAATATGTTGATGGAGGCAAGACTCCGAAGAAAAAGAGGTCAATCCAAAGCGGCATTAATCAGAATCAGTCGCTTTCTAGGCTGGGGGTTGAGGGCATAGCCAGGGAAGGGGGAGAGGGCAACACTGTACTAGATTGGCAGGAACGAGCCATTCCTAAGCCCAGCTCATTTCAGTAAAAACAGGCATGAGGTGAAAGCAAGTTTGGAAACTGAATTCTCCCAACATGACTCAAGGGTTGTCTTTCGGATGCCAATTTGCAATTTGGTTTTTAATAGGTGGATGAAAGTCTAATCTCCACATGAAGAATAGGACATCCGACGTATCATGTGAGCATGAAGTGGAAAGGGGCTCTTCCCCAAAACCTAGAGAAACGTTCGAATGCGTATTCTGGAGAGGGAGATAATGTCCAGTGGGTCTGTTGTATAATGCAGCTGTGTACGGGGGAGGGGGAGGAAATAGGATTTAAAAATACAACCGTGTATGTCAGAGACAGGTTATAAAAGCATAGGTTTCTCTTTCAGGAGCCTCTGAAGTTGGAAAGTGTGAATTACATGCACTCATTAAGACTTGTTAAGTTAAATTCAGAGTAAGATTAGAAGCCACGTTAATGATCCTGCCGTCCAACAACTGGGCAGCAGATGCTGGAGCTTCTGGTTAAGAGATTACATGGTTCCAGACGACGATTTGCTGTATGTGTCCCTGGCCAAGAGGAGGTGTAACAAACATATTATCAGACACAGAAAATATGCAGCCCTGGAAAAGGGACGTACGAATCGGACTGCCGTGATGCTTTCAAAGCTGCACATTTTCCCACTAAACCGCTGTTTCGGAGAATTAGTGGTTTTTTTTTTTTTTTTTTCCCTTAGAACGAAGAGTTAATCTTATCCAGGTTCAGAGCCAGAAACCTGTCATATGAAATCCCAGCGAAGACCGACATTCTTTCCAGGTTCGTTACTCGCCGTGGAGCTGAGTTTTCCAACGATGCCCAGGCTGAGTAGCTGTTAGGAGAAACGGAGCCACTTGTGGCCACTCTGGGGGGCTCGGGGGGACGGCTCTCCCGGTGTGCGGGTTCCTTTTGGGGGGGAAATGCCGCTTGGGAAGCATGAATAAGGAAACCCGAAAGACTGGGAGGGACCGGGGCGTCCCGGTTTACAGACACCAGGAGGTCACAGGTTTGGTCCCCTGCAGAGGTGCCCAGCGCACTGATGGAAAGTGTCCCAGGCTTCAAGCTTCAAGCCTGCGAGTTTTAACTCCTACCCCTTCCAACCATCAGAAGAGGAAGAGCTGCAAGAGAGCTGTGAACAGAGGAGTGTCCACGGGAGCGGGGAGGCTGCAGCCAGGCTCCCCATCCGGGGATGCGTGCAGGGAGACGGGCGCAGGCCGCCCTTTCCATCCTGTTCTCCTACACGAGCCGAAGGGCCGGCGGGGCAGGTGTGACACGATTCTGCTGGTTCCGTGCATCCAAGCCCTCTTCTCTTTTCCACGTTGCTTGCAGCGCTTTGGTTCCTTCTTTCGGGGACCAGGCAGGGCTCCACTGTTTTTCTGGATTCCAGGGTGTACCCCACCAATTACCCGGGGTGGCTGGGAATGAAGCCACTCTGCAATGTTCTCGTATGCAGCAGTCACAGCTGCCTGACCTCGAAGGGAGCAGTGGACCCAAGAAACCAACCATGAGGCAAAACCTGGGGGTCCACGCCCTCCAGTCACACACCCTCGGGCCGGAAACTTGCAAACGAGGAAGTGCACCGGGGCCGGCTGGCGAATGCCTTGCTTGCCTAGCTCGCATCTGACCGGTGCCCACCGTGTGCCAGCTTCCGAGCCAGCCGCCGGGCAGAGACATGGACCCCTGCCCCCGGGGGCTCACATTCCAGTGGGGATACACACCTGACGCTGGGGTCCCCCTGCTCTGAGCTCTGGGGGTGTCAGGGTGCTGCCCACCTGCCTGCCTGAACTTCCTGTCCCAGCCCGTCACCTGCCAGCCCGCAGTGGGCAAACCTCCAGCTGCCGTGTCACCTGACTGCTTCTCGGGGTGCTTCCTGGTCTCCAGGCTTCCCTAGGGTCCCGGCCAGGAGAGGAGATGGTCCCCGTGTCACGGCTCAGGTGCCCTGTTGGCGGTCCTCCCCGACCCTTGATGGCTGAGAGCCGCAAAGCTGGGACTAAATAGAGAGGTGCGCCTCCTGGGGACCTGGGAAATACCGGGGCGGAGACCTGCAGGTCTTCAGTCTGCAAATTGTGCATCTTAACCACGAGGGTCCCTGTGTTTGAAGAGCGCGTTTCTCCATAAAGCGCAGGACAGGCAGGGCTTTCAGGTGACCAAACTGCATCAGCACCTCCTCGGCAGCAGGCAGGAGGTGCCCAGACGGAACGTGACAGGAACGGGTCAGAACCCCTGCTCCTTCTGCCAAGGAAGCGGACAGATGATGAAGGCAAAGAAGTCAACTGTGGTGTATTCGAAGGGAAACGGTTACGGAGAAAGAGGAATCAGGCGAGAGGGAGAGGATGACGCGTCACGGCCGTTACGAGTAGAGTGACCCATGAAGGTGGCACTTAGAGCACGAATTTGGAGGTGAGGAAGCAGCTACTCGGGTATCTGGGAAGCGCACCCCCAGTGGAGGGACAAAGGCCCTGAGGTCGGAGCCCCCCGCCCTGGGCTGGAGGGAAGAGGGGCAGAGCGTAGGACACGAGGCCAGGGGTGCAGCAGGCCAGTCAGGGGTCTGAGCTCTGAGTGTGCGGGGCCTCAGAGGGCCGCAGCGGACACACAGGGTGAGGCCTCGCCCCACGGAGTGGGAAGCAAGGGCGGGCGCCACAGCAGCAATGCAGGAAAGGAGGCTCCTGGCCTAGGTGCCAGTTCGTGGTGGACTGGATGTGACGCGTGGAAGAAAGAAAGAAAGAAACCAGGGACCGCGTCCAGGGCGTTGGACTGGGCGCCTGGGTGCCCGGGCGGATGGGGTTGGCATCACCCAAGGAGGGGGCAGGCCTGGTGTGGGCGATCGGGGTGAAGTGTGAGACACACATAAAGTCCACGTGAGGATGTCAGGCGGGCAGGAGTTTAGTGCAGACAGAAGGCTGGAATCCCCAGCACAGAGGCGTTCTTCAAGCCCCCAGATGGCAGCGCTCATGGGGAAGTGGGTGGGGCTAAAAGAGGCCTGAGCCCGAGCCCTGCGGGCAGACAGGTTAGACCCACTTTACCCACCAAGGTCTAGAGACGTCTCTGTCCAAGGCTGCGGAAGGGGGTCCACTTGGCCGGCCCCCAGCTCCTAGGGCCCTGGGAGACAGGCCCCCAGCCCACTTCCTCTTGTCTACTGCGCTTCTCCCAGGCCAGGAGCAGCAGTGATGGCCGGTCGCCAAGTGTCACACGGGATCAGGGTGGGCAGGATGCTGCACGCGGACGCGCACAACCCCCAAGGCTGCCAACCAGACAGCAGTGCGCAGTGTGGCCACAGGCCCAGGAACAAAGGCAGGTCGGCCACTGCACGACATCTGCAGTTCTGCACAGAACGCGCGCTGTTACGCCCTGGGGCTCGGAAGCAGCCGGTCAAATGGGCTTCCCAGCAAACCCCCAAACCCGATCTCTTTCCTGGGCCAGACCCCAAGACGAAGGTTCCAGAAGGTTCCAGAAGGTCCCTCAGTCCCTTCCCCCCTCCAACCTCTCCCCACTAGGTGGCTGGGAGTTAGGGCTACATTCCCAGGTAGCATTTCCTCAACATGAAGCCACGTTTCTCAAACCCAGGCGCCTGGAGATCCCTCTAGATTCTTCGATTCCCACATTGTTCTAGAGGAAACTCTGGTCACCTCAATCCACGCTGAGAATTACTAACTGTGGAAATCCACATGTCTGGTGTTTGTTTTTGTGTTTTTGAGCCTGAGATTAGAAAGGCTTCAGGTCCTGAACCTCTTCCCCGGGGTGGGGGGGGGGGCGGTGAGTGGCCAAGAGTTCGAAAGCCCAGCTCCGGATTTCCGTAGCCTCTCGGTAAGGCCTTACTCCCCTCATCCGTGAAACGGGAATAATAACCGTCCCTGGTTCTCGGGGTTAAATGAGTTAGTAAGTGTCAAGTTCTTAGAATAGCGCCTGATATAAGGAGCCCTCACGCAGTCCCAGGGACCCTTATTACCCCCGCAGGAGTGTGACAAATGGACAGAGCCCTCTGCCTAGGCCAGGTTGGAGCCGTAGTCGGGAAACAGAAAGTTTCGCATTATTTAAGCCTGGCCGCGGCGCACGCCGAGGCCTGCATCACTTCGAACTGCAGTGTGAAGGGGTCAAACGGGGACTTCCTTAGAGCGACTGAAGTTTCTCTCTGTTACACTTTAAACACAGTCTCGCCAGGTGTCCGGGGAGCAGGACGAATTAAGATAGTCTCGGCCAGTGAATGAAATCCAGGGTTTGGAATCCAAAGAGACAGAAGCCCGAGCAGCGTCAGGCAGCTGGATGGGCAGAAAATTGTCCCCTTTTGGTGTTTTCTTTTCATCCACAGACTTTCGTACGTGTCCTCGGGCATCTGTCACTCCCAGGGACCATCAGGCTTGGCTGGAGCGATGCAGTCCTTGACGCTGGGTTCTGAAGACTCCGGGAACATGCGTTCATTGCTGTTGTTTGGAAAACCAGGTGAGCTTCTGTGCGGCTCAGCACCCCTGGGTGCCGGCTGGAGGGGACTCGGGGTGGCTGGAGTGTATGCTCAGCCTGTGATCCCGCAGCCTTGCCTGCCCAGCCCCAGGGACCAGCTCCCTCGCAGTCGGGGGACATTCTTTCCTGGGTGCATCCCTGAATTTTCCTGGGCATCTACAACTGCAGTCACCCGCTCACAATTCTCATTTCTGCTCCCACCTTGTAAACTTTCGCAGCCAAGCATTTGCCAGAGCCCTGGGGCCACCACCTGCGTTAGCCTCCAGCCAAGCAAGGACCTGCAGGGAGGCATAGACTTGAGGTTCTAGTTTACATTTTTTCGAATGAATGTTAAAACAAAAACATAACTACTGAAATTAAAAATGCTTGTCTGTGCAACACCAAGGTCACCCAGCTTGCCTTGGACGGACCGTCATCACACTTTGGGATGAAGAAAGTAAACATGACAGAACTGTGATCAGAGCCAAATAAATTTCATCTTTGTTACAAAATAAATTGACGAGGACTTTAAAGAATTACCTCCTCACGGCATTCCTTTAAAACTTAATTTCTGGGGCAGTGGTTAAGAATCCACCTGCCAATGAAGGGGACACGGGTTCGAGCCCTGGTCCGGGAAGATCCCACATGCCGCAGAGCAACTAAGCCCGTGCGCCACAACTACTGAGCCTGTGCTCTAGAGCCCGCGAGCCACAACTACTGAGCCCACGTGCCGCAACTACTGAAGCCCGCGTGCCTAGAGCCTGTGCTCTGCCACAAGAGAAGCCACTGCAATGAGAAGCCCGTGCACCACAACGAAGAGTGGCCCCCGCTCGCCACAACTAGAGAAAGCCCGTGTGCAGCAACGAAGACCCGACGCCGCCAAAAATCAATCAATCAATAAAACCTTAATTTCTGTGTTCTTAGAGGAGGTAATCATGTCATTGTTCATAGAATAGTGGTTTCTGATTGTGTGTTGCATCTTTATGCCTAAACACACGTTTTCACATAAAAAAAAAAAAACCACTGGTTTTCAAAAAAGATGCAAGAGGCTTTCACTGCCAGACCTGCGAGGGTCCTTAAACGGTCAAAGAACCCTGTCTGAGACATGAGTACGCTGAGGCTCTAGAGCAGCTGAAGGGAAGTCCACGCAAACCAAGGTGAGGCGCTGGTTCCCCCTGTGCCCCCCTCCTTCCCAGAAGACGCCCCTTGCTCCCTTGCCCTCTGCCGGATCCCAGCCCCGTACACCAGAGGCCTTGCTCCCACTCTCCCTGCCCTCCTGGGAGCCTCTGTACGTCCTCTGGCTTGGGCACCTCCTCCTGGCTGCTCCCCTGACCCGCCACATCCAGTGTATCCCACATTTACAGGCGGCTCCCTGCAGGCCACCCTAGAGACACAAAGGGGAATGGAAGCCAGTCCCAGGCTCACACCAGCGGCACTTGGCCTCTGGGGCGACCCTCTGGCCTCAGCCTCCGCCATCACACTCTGAGGGCTGCCGAGGGTCTCTGGCAGGGCCTTCCTGGAACTGTGATTCCGGAGGTGGGAGGCCTTGGTGTCTGGTGGAGGGAACCAGACCACATGGGAAGACGTCTGCTCAGTTTCGGGGGTTTTGTTAGATGCTCCACAGCTGGGGCTCTGTTAGCTGGTCCCAGAAATTGGAGTCCATGGAATGTCAGTGTTCCTCGAGAAGATCTATGAGAAGCAGGCCCTGTGATCAAGGCAATTTGGGCAACACTGCAGACTCTAATCTCCCTTTGGAGCACGATACCGTGCTAGCTTACGAAGGACTCCCAGGAATCTTAGAGTGGAGAAACTTGTTCAGCCCAGCGCGTCCCCATCTTATCTGATCACAGAATCCTTTCCTGGCAGACGACATCTGGAGAGGACGGAGAACACTGGATTCTCCTACGGTCCAGCTCAAAACCCCGATATCTCGTTTCCTCTGATCCGGTGGCGAGCTCTCAAAATTCGGGACAGATTGATTTTTCAGGGACGGTAACAATTTCTGATAATTGCTGCTTAGAAGCCTTCCCTCCCCCTCTCTCCCGTAAGAAACTTAACCACAGGGGGAAAAAAATGAAGTTCTGGCCCCGAATGGAAGTAAACAGCTGGAGCTGATGAATTCCAGAAGCAAGTATCCCTCTAAGCATCTATGTGAGAGAGAGATGCATGCCACGGAGGCTATGTAAATATAATTACTTCTAAGTAGAATACCTTCAACATTTCCCATTTTCCATGAGGTAGCAGGGAGGTCACGGTGAGGCCAGTCGTCCAAATATGGCTGCCGATCCCTCTGAGTCAGCAAAGTGTATTAAAAAAAAGATCTTTGGGAGAGAAATTTCTATTTTCATATTCTAGTTAAGTCTCTCCAAATGTATGGGATATTATATTTAGAGCTGCGGTTTTCAAACTTGTTTTCAAAGCATGAAAAAAACCCCTTTCGAGGAGAATCATACTCAAAACCCCTTCCCACAAGCCCCAGGCCAGCTTCTGAGGCAGCCTCAGGAGACCCCAGGAATCCGGTCTGGACATCTGTGCTCTGGGGCCTTGGTGCTCAGAGGCGGGCCTCAGACCAGAAACTTCTCGTCACCCGGGCGCCTGTTGGAAATGCAGCCTCTGGGCTCCACCCAGACCTGCCTTTACACTCCGCCTCCAGGGAATCTGGGTGCACGTTAACGCGGAAGAGGCAGGTACGGGGATTTCTTCCTCGATTGGATCGTTCTAAATACCAGAATGAGGCTTCTTGAAAGTTAGTCGGGAAATGTTCGACGCCCAGCCCGGCGACCGCTCTGAGCAGGTAATCCAAGCGAGTGCTGTCTTCTCTCTGCAGAATCTACTGTGTAGCCCTCCTCTCACAGAAATGGCAAGAGAAGAAGTGAGGGTGGCCTGGAAGGAGGCAGGAGAAGAGAGAGCAAAATGGTTAAAAGGAGAGGGTGTGAACCAGAGTGCCGGGGCTTGAACCGAACACTCCCACCAGCTCCCCGCCTCCCACCCCCGGGTGGAATCGGGAAGGTTGATTAAGGTCCTGTCCTATTATCCCCATCATCACAGGGGGGTGGGGGGTGATGGCCATGGTGAACATGATGATGGCACCTATCAAACGACTGATAAGCAGGAAGCACCTGGAATCGCCTGGGCGGCCGGTCAGGGCCGTCACTCCCGAGTCAGTAGGCTCTAGACGCGTGCCCCGGGCGGTGCTTGTAAGCACCTGGGCTGGGAGCCCTTCAGGGCCCAGGGTTCAGCTGGGGCCTCCCGGGCAGCCCCTCTGCAGGGTGGTGCTGGCAGCCGGGAGCCTTTCTGCATCGTGCTCAGAGCCTCTGCAGCCTCTCTGGTTTCTTGGCACTGTGAACCACTTGGTCTCAGTCCAGGGATTTGCTCTTATAGAAAAGAGAGGGAAAAAATAGAAAAGTTGTGGAAAACTGACACAAGGAATTAGGTCACCCTAGAAATGCTAAGACATCAGCAAAGCCCTTGATTAGGAGGATTTCATTTGGGGACCTCTGATGGCTGCCAGGCCCTGGCTGTGTAGGCAGAGAATTCCAGATGGGACAGGCAGGCGGGTGAAGGTCAAGACGATCCACCTCCTGACCTCCGCCTTTCTGCTGCCGAGGGCAAGCCGTGGGGCTGCCCCACCGGTGAGGGTCTTGGACCTGGGGTCTGGGAGTTTGGGATCCTGATGTGGTGACCGAAGCAGGCTGCCCCTCCTCGTGGGATTCAGCATCGAGCTCCCCTACCAGCAGAACGCTAAGCCACCCTCCCCTCCTTCGGGGGCCTCATCATTGGACTTTCGCTTCCTTGGTTTTGATGCCAGCGTCGTGTTCGCAGAGACGGAGCAATTGTCACCATTTGCCCTGCAAAACACCTCGAATGATGAAAGCTAGTCTTCCACTCTGCTGTAAGCCTTTAAGCCACTTACCAGACTGTTCTTACTATAAATGCATCTCTGCATAGACAGTCACCAGCCTCTGGAACACACTTACACCTTGGAGCGGCGGAATGCATTTTAATGACATTAGTAAGAGCTGGGACCCGAGCAAAGCGGTAAGGCCCTCTCTTGCTCAGTTAAAGGCGGCTGGATGGGGCAATGGACCACCTGTCTCGCAGGAGCCGGGCTGCAGGGAAAGGGATGCTGCGACCCATGCTGAGTGAGAAGGGAGGGCTTGAAAGGAAAGGGGGCTTGTAGGTGGTGGTTGGATTTAACCGTAAAAAGAAGCAAAGGGAGAAAGGCTTGTGATGCGGTGGAATGAGCACCAGGCTTGCGATTAGCTCTGAGGCAAGTTTTCTGCCTGTTTCCCCATCTGTAAAATGGGTGCAATGGTATCTATCTACTCCCGTGAAGAAGATGAAAAGGGGGTTTCCGAATCCATTAAGCACCACCTCATACGGCCTCTGCGGTTGATTGGGCACTGACTAGGAGACCGGCCCTGTGTTTGCAGCAACCCTGAAGGAAGGCAAGGGTGGCTGTGCCCATTTTACAGATAAGGAGAGCAAGACGGTTCCCTAACTTGCCCAGGGCCACGTGGCTGGCAGGCGGTGGAGCTGAGCTTCGGATGCAGGGCTGCCTGGCTGCGTCTTTACCTCGGGAAGGATGTGCTGTGTTTCCTGGTGACTGTGTAACGGGACAAAGCCACACGCCTGGAAACAGCAGCCTGAGTCCGTGAACTAGCTCCTCTTCTGCACGACTGCACCCCTGTGTGTACCCCGGCCCCTCTCCAGCGCCCACCACCCAGGAGCGGTGAGCTCTCTGGTCGCTTGCGGTGCCGGCCACCCTGAGCCAGGGCAGCAAGGAGCCAGACTTGCAAAAGTCCTTCTCCTCCAGAGTCCTGTGTCCGGCTGCTTAGACGGCAGGTGGGACCAGGACGCCGAGCATCTCTCCAGGCCCTGGCCGGCAGCCGGCGCCTCTCTGGGTCTACGCTTACAGAGGGGAGAGTGCAGACCTCCCTCACGTGGCTTCTAGAGCGGGACAGCCCGCTGTCACGGCAACTCCAGTCATGCCCCAAGCGCCCACTGAGCTCACTTATTCTAAAGGCACTCAGTGTGAAGAGAAACCCGTCCCTGTTTTCCCTGCAAGGATGTCAGCCAGCCACCTCCGTCCAGTCTCCTGTTCTCTAGGTGAAACCTCCCTGCCCCCTTGTCTTCGGGGCTTGTGGGACTGAGTTCTCAGAGCTACCGGCTTCCTGCAGCCCGAGCTCTCCTTGCTCTGTCCACCCACGTCCGGTCTCCATCCTTCCCAGCTCAGGACCCAAAGAGATGACCAACCGTTCTCAGCCTCGACGGCTCGGGCGGAAGGTGGGAGCCCTGGGGGTGAGGCAGGCAGCGCTCTCGGCAACAGCTGGCCCTAGGAGAGCTGAATAATTAGGGGATTCTGTAGGTGCCAGGTTCATGATCTGGGGATGAAGATGGGCTTTTCTGCGATTGTCCATGTTACATTGCTGATCCTTCATCTGCATTTATAGACCCCCAATTCCAAGAAAGTCTGGAAATTCTGAAAACCTGGAAATGTATCAGCCATCCCCCTTCCTGAGCCGCTGGGAACATCAGAGAACGAAGCCGCCAGCTGGACCCCGTGCTCCACAGAGCGGGTGATGCTGGTTGGGAAAGGAGAGAGAGAGACAGAGAGACAGAGACAGAGACAGACAGAGAGACGGAGAGGGAGAGAAAGAGAGAGGGAGAGAGAGGGAGGGAGGGAGGGGGAGAGAGAGGGAGGGAGGGAGGGGGAGAGAGAGAGAGAGAGGGAGAGAGACAGAGACAGAGAGGGAAAGGAAGAGGGAGAGAAAGAGAGAGAGAGGGAGGGAGGGAGGGAGGGAGAGAGAGACAGAGACAGAGAGAGAGACAGGGAGAGAAAGAGAGA